AATTTTAACAAATGTTTTGACCTTTAAAAACTTCTAAACCCTCAAAATTAAACTATAATATAACCAAAAAATATTAACAGTTAAAAAAGTTTGCTATAGTCGATGATAGAGAATCCTTTCTGGCACTCTTCTCGAGGAAGCCAATCTATTTTGGATTAACTATGTTATATTCTGGTCGACCACACGTGATAGAGAATACTAAAAATGTATTTAATTATTTAATCTCACGTTTGGCGTGTTAAAATCTATTTATTATATTATTTTGTTAAATTATTAATTTGTTCTCTCCTACTTGCTACTGCTGCCAATATCTCAATATATCAAGAGCAGCCTTGAGATTTTGTGGGTTCTAGATAAATTGGAAAATGGGGCAAGTATAAAAGAAATTTCTAATAAAATGTACAAATATAAAAAAGTGCTAAACGAAACACAATTTTCAATTAAATTGTTTGTAAAGAATTATTTGACATAAGTAGATTTCAATTGAGATAAAACCCTAAGCAATCAGAAGAAGAAAAAGATGCTTCATCTCTGGGCCCAGAGACGGCTCTAAGTCAAGGAGATGCAAAAAAACATAACTCTATGCCATCGCCTTGAGAGAAAAATCGAAGATATCTCCATGTCTTTTTCTAATGCACTTCAATGTGATATGCTTATCAATAGATAACACATCTGACACCTTGGAAACCTGAACGTACGTAAGCCACATATTCAGCTAGCTCAATGCAACAAAACACACCATTTTCTTTCGAAGTACCTTTTCATTGGACAATTCGCAAACGGAAAGTAGGCCACAACGACCACCATTGTATTCAACCACATCAACTGTCTCTCGAATTGATTTCACTATGCATTCATACAGTTCACCGACTTCCGGAATACTGCTGATTACGGGCATCTGAAGACAAAATAAAGTCAGAATCAAGGGAAATTAACAAGGATTATATACCAATCGGTTGTAAAGGAAGTACCTCTGGAGCTTCTTCTAATGCCTTGAGAGAAAATTCGACCATACCTTGAGAGTCTTTTTTAATGCACTTCAATATGATATGCTTGCCAACAGATAGCATATGTGAAACCTTGGTTACCTGAACATAAGCCACATATTCAAATTAAGCTAGCTCAATGCAACAAAACACACCATTTTCTTTGAAAATACCTTTTCATAGGACAATTTCCAAGGGTAAAGTAGGCCACAAGTACCACCATTATATTCAACCTCCGCCCATTCCTGTCCATATTTCTCTCTAATTGATGTCACTATGCATTTATACACTTCACCGACTTCCACAACATAGCTGTATAGGGGTATCTGAAGACATAATAAAATCAGAATCAAGGGAAATTAATAAAGATTGTATAAACCATTCGAAAGTAAGGAATGTACCCTTCTTGCAGGATTCACGAGTATAGAAGAAGTTATTTTGGGGGAGTCTACTATTTGCTCCATTTGATCAAGAATTTGAAGACGGGCTTGACATCCATAACTCAAAGCTTCACAAATGATATCTAACGAAATTCCAGCTGACTTTACATCCAACTGAATTGATGTTATACCATTTCGTATACCAGCAACTTTGCAATCCATTTCTACTAAATCATCTTCCAAGCTGTGAATAAAATAAAGGTATATCTCTATAAACTCAAATCAAGCACAAAAGATAAATGTTTCTACGAATTTCATCTAACATCCAACTTAATCATTACATAAAGTGGACAAAAGAGTAGACCAAACTGATGCCATTAATGGTTTTAGATTAAGGGTTTTAGATTAACGGTTTTGGTGATTTTCTTTTTTACAATTGGTTCTGGTGGTTTTCCTTTCTACATGAGGTTTAAGAAGAAGTTATCGACTCATACTACTTGACTTACGCGAGCCCAAGCTAAAGCAAAGGTTGAAGCAGAGGCTCATATTTATTTTGGGCCTATTTATTTTTTAAAATAGTATAAAAATATATATAAATTTGTGATATAAATTTAAGGAGAGATAGATACAAAATTTAAACATTGAATGAGATTTGAAGAGAATGTGTAGGAAGGATCAATGGAGGTGCTTTAGCCTTTGATGTTTTTTTTAATCAAACACACTCTCTAGGTATAATGGATTAAATATTGTTCCTTTTCTTATACAATAACTTCAATTATTAGAAATAAAACAAAAATCATAGGTGGAAGTTATTTCAAAAGTGCTAAAATTTGCAGATAAATAATTTTAAGTATTTCACTCGGGTTCCCATTTTTGGGCATTCTATTTGGTTTAGAGGTTTTACCTTTTCAAATGTCAAGAGAGTCGTTGGCCTAAACACTCCTTTTGTCTTCACATTTCCACAAAACTGAAGGCTAGTGTGTATATTCAGGAAAGCTTTACTAGTGTTTATTCTACTTTTATGGTTTTTGGTGCTCAAGATCACAATCAACGAGTTGGCCAAGAACACTCAAATTCCTTGCATGTGAATGGATCCTGGTCTTGCTACGTGTATGAAAGCGATGAGGATTGATGAAGATGAGGAGCCTATATCATCATGCCGGATTTACCAGAGTTTAAATCAACTGCTC